TCATTTTGGATTATTATCTTTGTTTTAGCACAAGAAAGCAGTTGGGACTTGCAGGTTAAATTAGTGCTCAGAAACTTGTAGGTGCCTCTATGATTGTTTTATGTGTGATGCTGGATCCCTAGAAATGTAGGGATAAGTATTGGACTATAAACTCCCTCCAGAAAAAGGAACAAACTTCCCTTCTCTTTCCCCTTGCTGCTACATGGGTCTCTGTGGCGGGGAAAGGACAGTTAGAACATCCCTAAGTCACTCAATTCATTAAGCCTGACAACAATTAATTACATTGAAATTAATGTGCAAATGCAATGTTTTACACATGTCAAAGACATGCCAGGAAAAAACAGGGTGTCACCATGCCATCTTTAATTCTTCTTATTGTTGATATAATCCGAGATGACAAGAAACAAGCCTAGTTTGTGCTCTCCATTTGCAGGTCTCCAAGAGTGTTACAGCATCACTCTGCAGAAACTGATGGCTATTTAGTTTTATTTCCAGATACAAGGGGACAAACAAGTTTGTCTTCAAGCATGGCCCAAGGCCCCTAGCTCTGCTGCGAAGAGCTGTCCTCATAACCAGCTGCCAGTGCCTTCCTACATCACACTTTGCATGTGGATTATTTACACCCTCGCCAGAGGGGTACAGCATCCAGCCTCACAGAGGGAAGGGAAAACCTCCTTGAGATCAGTCAGAGCTTGGCTCAGCAGGGGCTGGAAAGCTTACTCTGTGGAAAGACTGGCTGCTGAGTATTCCCAGTGGTTTGGGAGGAGCAGAGGTGAGAAAGTCAAACCAGGAGAGGGAACAGAGAAAATACAAAGAAAAGGAAAAGAGGAGGGGGACAGGGTGAATGCTGCAGATCTTACACAACTGAGAAGAGGTAGCCATACCTGGAAAATATATCATCTGTGCTTGCAGATGACTGAAGAGACAGGCACCTCTTACTGTCCATCCTCCCTTGCTGAAAAACGTAAGCACACACATTTATTTTCAAGTTACCTCCTAGTGTGGAGAAAGCTTGAAAATGTCACATGTGTGATAAAATGGCTCTGCTGTATTTCCTGCTCTATGACTTGGCCACTTGGTGATTAAGAGCTGCTTCTGCTGTCAGTAAACAAGACTGTGCCATCAGTCTGCAGAGCCGGGACCTGCGGCTTGCTGCAAACAGCCTGGAGCGTGCACGCTGCTGGAACTGTAGGTGTTACAGTCGAAGCAGGGTTTTGCATGTGCAGAACACAACTCTCGGCAGTGCAAGCCATGCTCGTGACATAAACCAAGTTTAAACTGCAGGCAGCTGCTCCAAGGGAGCTTGAATCTGTGGTCACCCTGCTAAATTGTCAGCCCAGGGGCCAAGCATGATGGTGGTTTTATTCTTGTGGCCACACCTGGTTCAGAACAACTGAAGTGAATCCACAGAGTACATGGCAGATAGGAAGAGCTTGTAGGAACTTCCTACCCAAGCCAACTTAAGCGGTGTCTGCAAAAAAACAAGAGGCAGCTAGTAAAGTCAGTTGAAGCTTACATAGCATCCGAGGCCAAGCAGTAAGGTTGTAATTTACCAGGGTCTTGTGTCTTGTGCCACCACTGCTACCTGTGCCCAGAGAACTGCGGAGCAGATGTAAAATACTGAGATGTGGTACTGCTGGGTTCCCACTCACAAGAAAATAATCTGGCCCTACAAGCCTGACCATGTCATCAAGCCTGACCCTCACAGTTTGCTCCAAAGCTCACAGTGTCTTTTGCTGAAGAAAGGATAATCTTTACAGGATCTTTTCCTTCCCCCCCCCCCCCCCAGAATATTGTATATTTTGAAGCTGTCATTATAAAACCCAAGCAAAACACAGGGGATCTTGTTCTTCACAGTGTTGCTCTGAGCGCAGCTTTGTAGAGTTGGTGTAAAGCTGTGAAAAACACAGCAAGCTCGGAACACTCCCATTTCGCACTCACTCGGTGTGACTGTAAACAACCGCACAGCAATGGAAAATCCCAGAGCGGCATGCCCCTCGCCTGCAGGACTTTGCTGGCCTTCCAGGAGTCAACAGAAAGGCAGTTATTTACAAATCTGGAAGTGAAGTTTTAGGGAGGCAAAGTTCTCTAGTCACACAGTGCTGGATGTGAGGGTTTACCAGTGTGATCTTTCAGGACTCTAATAAGAATTACACAGTTAAAGCCCTAAGCACCAGTGTGAAAATACTGTCACTGAGTGTGTGATTCTATGCCTGGGGCTCTTAGGTCCCCTCTCCAACAGACTGGAGCGTGGATCAGTTATTGTAAGGATAGTCTGTGCCACTCTGGCCTTTGCCATGATAGCTGGAGTCACGCACTTGGACCAGAGATAAAATACAAAACTGTAACAAGATCATGTATTTCATCTGGTTACCAGTCATATTTTTTAGATGTTTCTTTCATGCAGTGTGCAGTTGCTAGGGCATGAGCCAAGGAGTCTCAAAGGCTGGCTCGGTTTTCCCACTCTGCCTCAATTCTCCTTTATGCGGAGAAAATCACCTAATTGCTCTGTGACTATTTCCATGTCTCTGCAATGGAGATGGTACCTGCCTCCCTCTGCAGAGCAGTCCACACTGAGAGATAGTATGGGCCTAAATCAGTGTCACTTAAAAGGAATTTGCCCCTGACTTCCCAGGAGCAGGATCGGGCTATCTGTGTTTGCTGTCAGCGGCATTAAAAGCAGTATATAGGCATTAAGAGCAGTATATAGCTTTGGATAGATATTAACACCTGCAATAAAATTACCAACTACCTCACCGATCCCAGAGTGGCTTCTGGTAAGATATACATGTGGGTCTTATCTTGTGGGTCTCAGGCTGAGCTGTGTGCCAAAGGAGAGGTCGTCCAGGTCCCAAGCAGTTATATAGGTATAAATCTGGAGTAATTTAACGATTATAGAGGTGTGTTTGAGATTAACTGACAGAAGGAGCAGACCTGAGTGTCTTGCAGTGAAAAGCGTGAGTTCTGAAGTGGCAGATGCAGGCTGGAAAGCTTCATAATTTAATCTACAAATCTAGATTTTTTAAAATTTTTTTGGGGGGGGGAGTTTTACTGCTGCTTGCAAGCAGAAAATGAGTCAATTATCAACGAGATTCGTATTTATTTTTTAATCCCTTAGAAGCTGCAATCTATATTAACGTTCAACCTTCAAGTGGAGAGAAACAGTGGTTTGGAAGAAAAAAAAAAAAAAAAAAGGCAGATTTTTCCTTGGCGGCATCTAGGGGAAAAAAAAAATCTTTTATTCTAAAATTATCAACAGGTATTTTCCATCAAAATTAGCGGGGGGAGACGGGGAATAAATCAGAGGTGAACGCCTGATTTGAGGTGAGGGGGGGAGGCGGGAAGGCAGCGACAGTTGGGCCACCCTGAGGGACGCGTCAGCCTTTCTCCTCTGACAGGGGCTGCTGGCCGCGGCCCCCCCGCCGCACGGCGCAGGCAGAGCCGATTTAAATGAGAAGTTGTGCCAAAACTTTCCGAAGTTAATTAAAACACCCCCCCATCTCGCCGTCGCCGGGCTCCTCGCCCGCCCGCCCTCCCCTCCCCGCCCGGCTCCTCTCACGGCGGCGTCCCTGAGGGGAGCTCCATTGTCTGTGAGGGGATGGCCGCGGCACCCCCCGCCGCCGCGCCCCC